TCAACACTAAATTAAGTCACAACAAATCAACATAAATAAAACATTAAAAAAACACAACAGCACTGCTTTGTCCAATATTGTTGAGCGAATGATATTGACGTGATGTGATTATTTGATCACATGCCTTTTAAAGTTATAWCAGAAAATAATCAAAATAATAAATCATAACTTAATAAGAATGTTAATTATGAATAGCTGTATCATATTAATATAATAGTCATGATTATAAACCAGATCCTAATCACCAGTAATATTCAGAAAAGACCATTATCCAACATTTTATTTCTTGAAGGACAGTAATGAGAACCACTGCTTTAGAGACTTTAGAGACTGTGCAAATTAGAATCAAGTTTCTCATCCCACAACTACTTTGTCAGTTGTATGTTGTGATTGGGTATTAAATCTTTTCGGCTGTATGTCAGGGTGATTGACTCCTCCAAGCGTCATTCAATTTTGCTGTTAATTCACTTTTTCAGCAGTATAAACTGACCTGGGGATAAATCAGATTGATTCTAATCACACTTATGGAGCCTATATTTATATTAACATATTATTGGATGTGATTTTACTTGCAGAGATCAATTGCATATTTAACAAGTTAACATTGGAATGATCTTGTGCTTGGTGTTTTAGTGGAAGCAGAAAGTGAGGGTTGATGCATGAGGACAAAATGAATACTTGCAGTATGACCACAATGTAAGAGAATGAAAACCTCTTTGTTAGCTCTGGTTATATATCAGTTTTTGCATCATCTATAATGTACACACTGCCGACAGTTTAATTGGCTAGAATAAAAAATATAAACATCTTTGAAATTTCAATTTCAAATTTGAAATTGAATTGAAAACTTAAAGGACACAGTTCAACACATTTTAATCAAGAAGATATAACGAAGTTACTTTTAACTTACATTAGCATTAAATTATTGTACCTACTATAAAACCACGTCATCAGGCTACCCAAAGTGCTGTGAACTGTGAACACCACAACAAATATCCTAAAAAACTGTGTGTTATAATTTGAACAATGACAGCACCTGAATAAACCTGCATGTGTTGACCACAGACATGTCATTATCATTCAGTGTAACCAGCTTATCATCTTAAATGCAAACAATTGATTTTATTGCTGTTCCGATGGGATACAGATGTTGGCCGTTTCAGGCAATGATGCAGCACTTTTGGCCTTATTGTACTAATCAAACATGGCCCAAATATCCCAAAATCTATTTGGGCCTTCTCCGGCAAACACGTGGCGCTTGAGGCAAAGTGTAATCTGGGTGTGGACCTAAAGTGGTCCATGCAATAAATGGTGAATATGCACAAAACAAATTCGGGCCACCTTTGGCACCTTTGGTTTACAAGCTATGGCTTACTTGTGGCCAAGATCTGGTAAACAGGAGTGGACCCCCAAGTGCCATTATTCCACGTGGTATGTGGGCTGGATGTGGGAAGTGGGACAAAACAATTTTGCTACATGGGGGACATCTTAAAAACATGTGAGACAGAATGACAGATGGCAGCATATCCTCTGCTGACATCACAGATACTGCGAAGCTCAACTTCCACAAATAGCAACCTCTGGGTCACAACCTCTGGGTCACAACCTCTGGGTCACAACCTCTGGGTCACAACAAAATGAGTGAGGGAAGGATTACCACACATGTATTCGGATTCCTGATTTCCATTTATAAGGAGGTCAGATTTTCTTTTCCATTTTTCATCAAAACAAAAATGTTGTCCAAACTTCTAAAAGGTTAGTAGGCTAGTTTCCTGGTTTTGGTTTGAAGAAAAACACTGACCCTTCCACCACTGGTAGAAAAACTATTGGTTCAATACACTGAACCACGTGTTCAGACATGACCTCCAGTGCAACTCCAGAGAATTGGGTCTAGACTTTCTCCAGAGGTTTCCTTTCACACATGAAGGACACAGCGGGAGGTTCTCCACTCAGACACATTCAAAACAGCAACAAATCCTTTGGATAATTTATTAATCAATCAGATCAATCAAATTTTATTTGTATTGCCCATATTCACAAATCACAATTTCTCTCATAGAGCTTTAACAAGGTGTGACATCCTCTGTCCTTAACCCTCAACAAGAATAAGGAAAAACTACCAAAAAAACCTTTTAATGGGGAAAAAGAACGTAGAAACCTCAGAGAGAGCCACATGTGAGGGATCCCTCTCCCAGGACGGACACAAGTGCAATAGATGCAACATGTAATGGAGAAAGTCAGAGAAATAGTAAAGTAATTACAGCATTGGTTAGAATAAACAGCTTGTAGTATGACGGAAGGTTAATGAATTGAGGAATTATTGTCAGTAATGGTATCTGAGGAGACCTATTGTATGTCAAGCAGTCCTGTTGTAGTCATAGTCCACGATCAGCAGCCACCACGATCAGGATCCACCATTAAAGTCTATCATCATGATCCACTGCCACCATCAGGATCCACTATCAGCTGCCACGTTAATCATGGTCCACCACTACAATCAGATGCCAGCACGATACAGGATGTGCCATTACTATCACGATCAGCCAGAACGTTATTATGTCATATACCATTAAGATCACAATCTCTGATTTAGACGAGTGGTTCAGCAGGTAGGACATAACATAAGCCGTTTTCAGACCTGACCTCCAGGTAAACTCTGGAGCCTTTCACACATGCACAACGCAGCGGGAGATTCTCTGCACAGACGTGTTCACAACAGCATCAAATCCTCAGCATCATTCAGGCAAGAAGCGGAGCAGCAGAGACAGGAAGTGACATATTATCTCTGCTGTGGAGATGACGTGTATTTGTTTACAGCACCCAGACACAGCTCTTATCACCACAAACTCTCTTGACATCTTCTTCTTTGCTTTTTCACTGGGAGATATTTGTCATCTTTTTTCTTTTTCATTTTTGCGTCTGTTGCGTGTTAGAAGCGCCATCAACCCCCCACTCACTTGCAGTGCATCCAGCGGGGGATCCCCTGCTGTGTTTTCATTTGCATTCACACATGCACCTCCTCTGGAGAAGATATGGAGGAACTGCAGAGTCCAGTGCATGTCAGAAAGCAGCTGTATTATAAGCCACTGTAGAGATACTGTGATTTTGCTTGCAGAACATCGATACAGGCATTGGCCCTTATCACCAAAACCTCTGACATTGGACATTTTGGACTTTTTTTGGGTGTGTACAACGTGTATGGCTCCACTTTTTAATCCTGAGATATTTGTATTCATTTTTGGATCTGCAAGTTTTAGAAATTCAGCAGGGAATCCTGCAGAGGATCTCCTGCTGTGTTCCCATATGAGCTAGTCCTGACTTTATGCAGACTTTTTATTAGAGGGCCAGAAGGAGTAAGTCTGCAAAACTCTGGAGGATCTCTGGAGTTCAGTGCATATCTGAAGGCAGCTTCTCAAGAGCATTAATGTGCAGCAGGTTTGTTGACAGTCTGCCCATTGAATATGCTGGATTACTAACCAGGTGAAGTCACAACTGTCTTGTTGTGCCACGAAACCTCAGGGCAGGTTTGTTGAATAGTGTTTGTCGTATTCCTTTAAATGTGTAATACATTATGCAAAAATAATGATATAACTATAAATGACAGGGGACTTCTTTATGTTTTATATGGACCCTGAATAGTATCCAAGTCTATCTTCTTTGATTTCATCTTCTGTGTCATTGAAATGAACTAAATATGTAGTGATGTGTCCTCAGATTCCTGCTGATTGCAGTGCAGGGGTCTGTGCCTCAGTAAATTCCCCTTTTGATTAGAGCCACAAATAAAGCTTTGCTGGCCACTGAGCTGTGACAATAGATGGTCTGCTCTCTAAGTTCAGCCAGTCTGGTATGCAGGGTAATGAATGCTACAATGGGATGGCATAATACAAAAGCAGCACTTGTTTTTATCTGACAGTGCTGGGTGTAAGCTCTGCTAGGTCAGGACAGCAAATCACTCTCATGGTCAGGTCTAATTTTTTTATTTATGTATGTTAACTCTCCGAAATCTAGCAATTTAACACTTTAACCCTGCCTACCAGGGGTGTCATGCAAACCTAAATGCTTTGGGGGTAGAATTGGAAGAGGTGACATGGTAGTTCTTCTTCCCAGAAAAAAAATCCTGAAAATAATGACACACTTTCCTAATGTTTACACTACATACACGAAGACACTGGGTTTGGATAATTTAAACACATCACTACAACTTTTATGTGTATTATGTGTATATGAGGGGAAATGATGAGGGGAACATGCAAACAAATGTATTTTCAGAGAGCGTATAGCATGGGTACGGATGAGACATTGTTACAGAGCTGTGTCTGCTCTATTTTATATATATATATAAATATATATATACATACTAAATTATTATATATTATTATTATTATTATGTGATATATATAATATATCACACATGCAGGATAATGTATTCATTACGGATCACCTGTCTTTAGCACACTGATGCTGCTGTTGGCCCTTATCACCAAAAGCTCTCTTGAAATCTTCATAGGTGTCTTATAAATGTATGGCACCACTTTTTCATACGCATGCTTTTTTTTGTTTTATTTTTTTAATTTTTGGGCCTGTTGCATGTAAGCGTCATCAACCTCCCCACTCACTTGCGGTGAAATCTGCAGAGGGTCTCCTGCTGTGTTCTCACTTCGGCTCCTCTGGAGTTTCTGCAGACTTAACGCTATATTGTAGAACTGTTTGAAGAGGGCTCACTAATGAAGGGAATGATTCTGGAGTAGCTGCAGAGCATCAACACAGGACACAAGATTCCAAGATTTTTATTGTCAAATACACACGAGAAAGACATTCCCCTGTGAATTGAAATTCCCGTGCTGTCCTTTCTGGAACACCAGCCGACCAAAATTTACATCAAATACAATATTTACAGAAAATACAATAAGATACGATAATACAATAAGGATAAGAACATGAACAAGAACAGAACATTACAGGTTTATAGTGAACACAGTCAAATTGACTTGTATAGTAGAAAAGATGAAGCTAACAATCAGTAGATATAGGTGTGTGTTAATGAGGGATCATGTAGTTTCCTAGTGTTCCCTGGTTGCTGCTCAGTCTGAGTGGGACTCTGTGGACATGCCTGTGTACAGTGTCCTCTGTCCTGTCTCTGTATCAGCGCATTTAAAATGATAAAGACAGTGAATAATGATAATAATCATGATAATAACAATAAAGATAATCATGGATCCTTCCCGTTGTTGGTTTAATGTTTCAAAATGAAAACAAACGTCGCGTGCTCACTGTTTCTCCCACCTCTTCCACAGGAGCTCCTTCTCTCTCTCTCCACCAATCAGCGTGCGGGAGCTGCAGCGGAGGCCCCGCCCCTGTTCCCTGTCCTCTGGAACATTGTGTTTACGAAGCTCGGCTCCTTGTTCCAGCTGCTCCTCTTCATCAGCGCTCTTCCTCTCCCTCGCAGCAGCTGGAACGGTGTGTTTATGACGACCGGCTCGTTGTTGCTCTTCTTCACGGCTCTCCCTCTCCCAGATCGGCTGCTCTCCGCTCTTCTTCACGGCCCGAAACCCACCAGACTGCCGGCAGGCTGGCGCTGAACCTCTGCGAACAGCGAGCAAGGCAGGCGTCAGGACGTCCAACGATTAGTTTAGATTTAAAGTAATGAAAGATAAACACGTCCTTCCTTCATGCTTACTTTCAACAAAAAAGAAGCTATGGATATTTGCGACGGGAAGAAGAGGAGAAAGGTAAGCGGCGGCGTGCGGGTGTGCAGGCGGAGTGTGGCCGCCAAGATGAAGAGGGAGGCCGGCATGGTCCTTCGCTCCCTCACGTTGGGGAACAACAACCACACGGAGCCCATGGTGGAGGAAGAGGACGACGACTGCTTCTCCATCGGCTTCCTGCGGAGTGAGCGACCGGAGCCCGGCACGGTGGTGTCCCCCCGGTACAGTCTACTGCGGGAGGTCGGCCGGGGCAGCTACGGGGTGGTTTATGAGGCTTTATCCCGGAAAACAGGGGCCAGGGTGGCGGTGAAGAGGCTCCACTGCGACGCTCCTGAAAACGTAGAGCTGGCTCTGGCCGAGTTCTGGGCCCTGACCAGCCTGGAGAACCGGCACCAGAACGTGGTCCAGCTGGACGAGTGCGTCCTGCAGAAGAACGGCCTGGCCCAGAAGATGAGCCACGGGAACAAGAGGTCCAGACAGTACCTGCGCCTGGTGGAGACGTCCCTCAAAGGTACAGCTGCTGCCATGTTTACTTCTCACGTGTTAGTAGCAGAGCACCAGAAGCCCGCACAAGGAAAGAATACATCCAGTCCAAAAACAGGGAACTAAAGGTGAAGTTAGTCCTCTAAAAGCACAGAGTCATGTTAGTCTCACTAAGTTGTTAACAAAGGGGATAGTTATCTGAAGCCTTCAATCCAAACTTTAGGGTCACTTCCATTAAAGGTGCACTAGTCTTTTGTTTTCATAAAAGCTCACCAAGTTAAGGATTTTGTTAGAAAGATAATAAACTATATGTTTAATAACTTGTGTAAACTTGTGCAATGGGTCTCTATTGGTGACAAGCTTCATCAACACCGTTGCCCGGGGTTACCAATTGAATCAATTAAAAAATTAAACTTTTGCTTATCGCATATTATTGACCTGTGTACTACACAGATTATTTACATCCATGTCCTGCTGTGGATAGTAACCCTGGAAGATTAGCAGTGTTTAAGCTAAATAATGTGGAAAATACAGCATGGGTCATAAACTATAAAGTGTATGCGTAATGTAAGATTGAGAAAAATCATTCACAGGCATTTGTGGCCTTCTGTCTGTCAGTGACTACGCTATATGTTTCCTATAGTACGCACAGAGAGTACACTGTGTAGCCCTCCGCTCATAAGAGAACACAGTGTACTACTTGGCAACATGTTAACCCATTGCATGTTGACTGGAATTTTAGACCCTAAACAATTATGTCACAATTAAATGTGGTATATTAGAATGACATGCTGCAGCTTTATCATCTGATATATATTATCAGTATATATTATTGCTGCAGTTTGACCTACTTTCCATTTCCTTTGTTATTGCTCAGCAGGCCCTCAGAGAAAGCGTTCAATGTATCTTAATATAATTAAATTTTAGCTTTGAAATACCTATAGCCTGATCTATTTTTAAAAACACGACTGAAAAGGGGTACAGTGTGTGCTTCTTTTCTTATAATAGCCAGGCTGTTATGTAAGTGTCACCATTCAGGCTTTTAAAGTAAAATATTCATGTTGAGCTGACATATTTTCATACAGTACTAATGTTTGTAGGATTTGAATAAATGGCTTATTGAGGACTTGTTGTTTCTCTGTATACCCACTTGTGTTTTGTCTCAGTCCCCTTTACCTGGTTTTTAAAGTGTAAAAGTAGTCAGCAGCCATGGTACAACAGGCCACAGTGATCATTAGGGGAGGTCGTGTGGGGGAGCAGTGCAGTTTGGATGTTGTGAAAACCTGTTTCACTGCTTCTTCACACTGTGGAGAGCTGGAGGAAGAGAAAGTCAAATCAGGAAGTGCCAACATTTTTAGTCACAGAATGGTGGATGATGTTTTATCGGTTAAATCTTATTAGTTAGTGGACTAAAGCAGTGATATGTAAAAAAATATCAGCAGAGACAAATATATCAGCCGATTCTTATTACCTATGCAAAAGGTTGACTGATTAAAAAACAAATATCTCTGCTTAGACTTGTTTGAAGTTATCTAAACCATTTTCTCTATCAGTTTTGTTTGTCATGAGAACACTAGCAAATACAGAAAATGTACTGCTGAAGAAATAGCCTGGTCGCAATTATTTTAATAACAAATTTATTGGAAAATGTGTTTTTATTTAACCAAACAAATATCAATCCAGAGGTCGGCTGTCTGGCCTTAAACTAAAGCCGTGTTTCAACCAAAAGTATACAGAACTTTTGTCCAGGAACTCAGAGGTTACTGCAGACCGTTGTGTGTCTGTGTTTCCAGTGCAGTCGAAAATCCAGTGGAGATTAGGCAAATTAGCCTGCTGATGTATTGCAGGGTAAAAAGATTACCTTGCAACTCTATTGAGACCCCTGTCTAAATACAGGAGCCCTTGTCCCTGCGGTTGAACCACAAGGACAATGGTTCCTGCAACGTTTCCTCACCTTATATGTTTGGTTAAGCAATAAGATTGTAATATGCTCTTAATGAGTCCTACCAGTGCAAATGGAAAATATTCAACATGTCATATACCGCAGAAATAGAAGTGAAAGTGGCTTGCAGGCATGTGTGACTTTACCTGTGTACTATTGATTGGTGTGGTGTTTAAGTATAGACTGAGTGTTGTGTCACAGTTTGAAAGCTGTTATCTCACTGATCAGCTCATATCTGTCCCTTTCCAATCTGCTTGCTGCAGGGGAACGCATCCTGGGTTACCCAGAGGAGCCGTGCTATCTCTGGTTCGTCATGGAGTTTTGTGAGGGTGGAGACCTCAACCAGTACATCTTGTCTCGCCGGCCCGACCCCCACACCAACAGGAGCTTTATGCGGCAGTTGACGAGTGCAGTAGCATTCTTACACAAGAACAACATTGTCCATCGTGATCTGAAACCAGATAACATTCTCATCTCACAGAAATCAGGTTCTCCTGTTCTCAAAGTTGCCGACTTTGGCCTCAGTAAAGTTTGTGCTGGCCTAAACTCCAAGAACAGTGAAGAACACCCTTCAGCAGCAGCAGCAGCAGCTGCAAGTGGCAGAGGCAGTAACCAGAATAACATCATCAACATTAACAAATTCTGGTTGTCGTCAGCTTGTGGCTCAGACTTCTACATGGCCCCCGAGGTGTGGGAGGGCCACTACACCGCCAAGGCTGATATCTTCGCCCTGGGCATCATCATCTGGGCAATGATTGAGCGGATCACTTTCATTGATGCAGAGTCTAAGCGTGAACTGTTAGGGACCTACATACGGCAGGGCACAGAGATTGTACCAGTCGGGGAGGCCCTGTTGGAGAATCCCAAGATGGTTCTCCACATCCCACAAAAGGCGAGGAGCTCCATGTCTGAAGGCGTGAAAAAACTCCTCCAAGATATGCTAGCAGTCAACCCTCAGGACAGGCCAGACGCCTTCCAGCTGGAGGTGCGCATGGACCAAGTCACGTGTGCTGCATGACAGCCCCCACCTTTCCGAACCTCTCCTTTTTTACCCCTACCAGTCAACAAAGGGACCTCTCTCCTTCCCAGGTAGGTTCAACCTCTTTCATAAGTTTGTGTGTGTTGAATCCAGTCACTCTTTGAAATCACTGGGTGTTGTTGTTGTACTTATTTTTAGTGCGTCACTACTCTGCCTTGCAATGAAAAGAAGAGCCATTTTATCACTGTCAGTAACCAGGCTGACATTAGTACAGGTCAGATGATAGATTCCAGAAGGAAAACATAGACAAAGAAAAAGGTAAACCACTTTAATATGAGGTGTAGCTGAAAATGCAAACAATTCATCTTTTTTTTTTTATGAATATAGATGACCCCTGACAGCTGTGTGTGATGCAAAACGTGCTGCATGTACAGTAGTTGTGTGGTTAAGACTAGAAAAGTGCTTAACGGTCTGTTAACCATTATGAGCCATAAGAGCCACCAGTGACTGGTGTCCTACATCACTATCTACTGCAGAGGTGACTGGTGTTAACTGACTGATATGCACAGGTTGTTGAGGAATCTTCCTTTAAATGAATGAACAAATACACCAGTGTAGTTAAAGCTGAAATTAGGTAACAGGAGGTGTGCTGACGGTAGTAGGTGGAGAGGGTGTTGTAAGACATTGGTACACCCTGGGCCTCAGGGCTAACAGCCTGGCTTTTATTTAACAACACAGTCAGGGTGTAGAGTGAGGCAGAAAGCAAACAGTAAATGTTTTTGTCAGGTATTAACCTGGGTACTTTTCCTGTCCACAAGACTTATGCTTCATCTGATCACATCCCACAAGACATCACTTAATTCTGACTTCTGTTTTCATCAAATTACTCACTGTCGCTGGCTGATGAGATTATCCTGACAAGTGCATCACTACCTGTAGCTTCTTACAAGTGATTTGCATGTTTCCTAGATGAAACTGCCCATGTGCCCAGTTGCCTGAGTTTGCATGTTCCCCCTGTGCCTGCATGGTTTTCTCCAGGTACTCAGGTTTTCTCCCACAGTCCAAGCAAATGCAGATTACCTGGAGACTCTGAACTCCCTGTAGATGTGAATGTGATTATGAGTGGTTGTTTTGCTCTGTAAATTTGCCCTGTGAGGGACTGGTGAGCTCCCCTGTGACCCTCAAAGCATAACTATGGAAAATTGATGGATGGATACTAACAGAGTCCTGGAAGCTTTGATGGTACAGATCTTCCCTCCCTGATACCGATTCCCCTAATCCGAAACCTTGATTTTGCATATAGTCTGATACTGATCTGATACCAGTGCATTTAGAATACAACTTGGATAACGTGTTCTAACATCTGTTACTAACCATGTCTGCAATTGATGATTGCTATCATTGTTGTGTGGTCTGGCTGAGGTTTAACCCTTTAAAAAACAAATGCATACAAAGAATAAATAACAAAGAATATCTTATCAAGTTTGACTGTTATAAATGAAAAAATCCCACAAGTTAAAGAGTAAATCTGGGAATACACAACAAATATTTTCTAAAAATAGCTGTTAAAGTGCCCCCACAGTTATTAAAATAGAAGCGTTTAAACAGTACAATAGAAGTACAAAACAGTGCAACAGCAGCTACAAAACTAAATACATTAAGGGAATAAACAACAATTGATAGGACTTGTCTTGTAATTGGTGACACTAGTGCCTCCGCTTGAAACGGAGGTCTTGTAAACAGTACAAATTGCTGTTTCACTACACTACCTGATAGCACTTCATCTTTGATACTCTGAACAAAGTACTTGCCAGGGGTAGTACAGCGCAGCTGCTGTCTTGGAGCTGTGAAGAGGTGATATACAGTAGGATAATGAAAATTGTAGTTTTGTCTGGGTGAAACTTATGTACTTTAAAGATGCGGTATCAGAGTGGTACATAGATTTGTTTACTTGCCAAAGACCGACCTGGAATTTTCTGTATTGGAACACCTCTAATTATAATAAAAACACAGAATACATTTTTTAAATATTCATTTAGAAATTTAGCCAACATGTTATGTGGGAAAATATGATCGAAACTTTTCCTCAATCCTGACATAACTTTGCCGATTTTATTACTATTACAGAAATGCCATCTCCCACCCCCTCCCCCAAAACAAACACGCACACTCAGCAGGAAGTAACTTCTGCAATGTAGGAAAAGTGGCCCTTTAAGATGGTAATTGTCTGAGTTTGCTATTTAGAGCAGAAACTCCTTGTAGCACATCAATCAGCTGCTGAGTGGATGCTCAGTGACCTGAACCGTCCGTCTGTTTGTTTGAACCTGAACCCTCCGTTCATGAAGACTAATCCCAGCATTTGTTTGACAATTAGCCATCCAATCCTGCAACCACTCTCTGTTAACCCCTCATTGTCAGCTCTTGCCCAGAGACCCCCCCCAACACTCTGTGACGTAACACCTCTCGGTCAGTGATGGCTCTGAAGATGCCATTGCGTGTTAGTCCATCGCAGCAGATTGGCCTTGTTCTCTTGTGGCATGATGGGATGGCGAGTTATGCAACAGGCCCACATCCCTGCACTGGTTCAATTAGAAAAGCCGTCATCTCAGAGAGAGAGGGATTAGTGGCTGTAAACAGAGAGAGGGAGGGGTGAGCTGACAACGTCAGCATGACGATACACAAATCTCTGATGAGATTTAGCACCCATAGATAAACAGAAACTATCTATAGTCTGTTGGGACATACCTGTATATTCCACTGATGTTGTTTCTCAGTGATCTGCTCCAGTCACAACTTATTGATCACTTTTCAATCTATAAAGATGCTCAGAGATAATGACAAATACTCATCAACAGTCCCCAAAGGTATGATTTTAATTTGTTGGTTCAGTTTGACCAACATTATAGTATCCAAAGCTCTTAATAAATTTCTGTTGACACGAGAAATAGAGAAGTTACCATTACTCAACACCAGATGTTTAAACAACCAGAAATTTACTTTACTTGATAAAATTGGCCTTTGAACACGTTTCCCACAATTATTTCTGTATTTTCATCCCTGTGTCTTTACACAGGAAGTATTGAGTCAATTAGCACAATACTGGGTGGAGGGACGGAGCTCAAGTAAGTGAAGAACTCATTTAATTCTTGTGCAGACCCAGTGAAAGATGTTTCCTTTCCTCACCATTGCAAGATATTTTCACATTTCAATCAGTTTCTCAGGAAATGAAGTCTTGATCTGGATGATATGGATATCATAAATCTTTATTATATTTATTGTGATGAGCTCTTCGTGGCCTTTGCTCCAAAATGTACAAACGTCGGATAAATGTGGGATAAAATCAAGTGATGACATATATATCGTAAAGGTCAGAAGTCAAATCTTAATGTTCTAGACATTGGCCAAGAGGTGGTTTACACCCAAGTCATCAGTCCATCATGACAATCATTCGCGCTTACATTCACACCTACCGAAAGTGTGGGCACCCGCAGAAAACCACACAGACATGAGGAGAACATGACAACTCCACACAGAAAGACCTCCTGAACCCATGACCTTCTTATTGCACCACGCCCACTCACCATGCATCTGAATTGCTGATCCCCACCCAATGATGATTAGCATCAGAGCTTAGTAAACCTATATATTACCCCCGATGCCATCCACCATCCCAGTGTTTATCTTAACATTTACATCAAAAGTATTTACAAACAAATAATTTAACACTTGAAATGGAGTCAGAAGTACAAACTTATTTAAGTCACCCCTTCTAAATGAATTAATAATTATCTTATACTTAACTAGCTTCCTAAATCTATACATATGTTACATATTAAATACCTGTGCTCTATATTGTATAAAATGTAAACAAATATATCTAATAATAAATATAATAAAAATATGGCAATATATATAAACTCATTAGCCTACATACCCAATATCAAATATGAACTAATTTGTTTTGATATTCATAGCAAAAAGAGAGGAAGATATACTAAGGAATAATAAATATAAGGTGACCAAATAAAGAAACCGTACCCCTGCAAGTGATTGTCAAATCCTCTCTTCATCCCTGTACCTTGTGAACAACATATCTTTGTACTTTATTCTAAACAGGGTTATGTTTCCACATTCTAACTGTTCCATAGCCTTACTCCACAGATCGAGATGCAAAAACCTCTCCTGGCTGTTCTGTCAAACTTTACAATATCCAAACATTTTTCCACTTTAAAATCAAACAATACAATAGAGAAAAGCAACAAACACTCCAATTAAAGAAGCTGCAACTAGACAGAGTTCCATGGCATCATTTCTTAAAAAGTGACAAACTGTTAATCGTAATAGACAAATTGATTCAGCTCTACAAGTAACTGTTCTTATATTAGCTCAAACATTATTTACATTTCTATCCCGCTGTTTGTTGTTTCTTATCAGCTGACATGTGGACCAGTATCTCAATAATATTGACTGATGTGGCATGGATATGAAGGAATATCCTGATTTCATCAAAGCTGTCTTCCAGTGATGTTATTGGCCACAAACCAGCCTAACCATTTGTCAGTTCCATGCTGACCTCACTGCTCTGCGCTCCGCCTTCACAGCTGTCAAGTGTTAGCGATGAACAGAGATTGTCCACAACTTACATTAGTGAGGCACTGTCTAAAAAAATTCCCACGCACTTAAAATTAAGCGATCGAATGAGAGAAGCCCAGTAGTGCTGGTATTTTTGAAAGAAAATAACAAATAACATCTGAGACTGTTATTGGGCAAAAACTGAATATTAAATGACATCAGATGTTTTGTCAACAGCTCAACACGACTATGTGTATCTCTGTTTTGTGTGTCCTCACCCAGCCCATCTATCTCACCCATCATTACTCCCTCCCCCCCCGCCTCCCGCCCCTTAGCTGGACAATGAGAGTGCTGCTCCTGGTTCAGGGCTTATGGAGGCTTGCGTCGGGAACATTTTGTCCTCTCGCAGCCTGCCAGCCGTGTGCCGCCTCAGTTTAACCAGGCCAGAGTGCCGTAAGCTCTAGCCCTCCCCACGTGTACACCCTGTATTTTAGGAATCCTTGTTGATTCCATTGACAGCCTGATCAGGCTTTTTACA